GGTTTGTGTTTTGCGGTCTCTGTTTTTAGCATTGGTATCTTCTGTGAGAATTACAACTGGTTTGAACATTAGCACGTTCTTTGCAAAGTCCAGAAGTTTCAAAAGAGGTTATGATCTGGGTAACAACCAAGGGTCAATCAACGTGACAATGTGACATGAGTGTAGGTAAGGGGCACAATTTAAGGTTAGGTAAGGGGCACAATTTAAGATTAGGCACGGTGCCCAGGGCAAGTCACTCATGTTTCAGTTTTCTTATTCCCAAACTGGTGTCTTCCAGAGCCCTTGTGAGTCTCCAGGTCTGATTCTAAGTGACAGTTAAAGAGTGTGTAAGGTTCCAGGTTTGGCATTCACAATGCCCCTGGGATTTTCTAGCTATTGTTTCTACCTATTGTTCCCTGCTCTAAATCTTGGTTTCTCCAGGAGAAGCAGGGGAAAGAAAAGTAAGCAAAACTACACATTGATGCTTCAAGAAAAATATGGTAGCCATGTAGTCAAGGGGAGTTACTGGGAACTTGTAGAAAGGGCGGGGGACTTGGGGTAGGTTGGGGTGCTCAAGTCACTATTCCACTATTTATTAGTGTAAGGAAGAAAAGTCATTTAATCTCTTTGGTCTCCAATTCTCTCATTTTTTAAAAAAATATTTTCTTATTCTTTGTACATTTTTTTGTGCTATTTTTAAAATTTGTTTATTTATTTATTTATTTGGCTGCATGGGTCTTTGTTGCTGCGCACAGGCTTTCTCTAGTTGTGGCAAGCAGGGGCTACTCTTCGTTGCAGTACACGGGCTTGTCATTGTGGTGGCTTCTCTTGTTGAGGAGCACAGGCTCTAGGCACGCAGGCTTCAGTAGTTGTGGCTTGCGGGCTCAGTGGTTGTGGCTCATGGGCTCTAGAGCACAGGCTCAGTAGCTGTGGCACACGGGCTTAGTTGTTCCGCAGCATGTGGGATCTTCCCAGACCAGGGCTCGAACCCGTGTCCCCTGCATTGGCAGGCAGAGATTCTTAACCACTGCACCACCAAGGAAGTCCCTCCAATTCTCTCATTTGAAAAATGAGGATAATAATTTCTACTTCTCAGAGTTACTGTAAAGTGGTATAGAGCATGCTATGCTGAACGGCATCATATGGGCTGGATTTTAATCTGTTTAGAATCAGACAATCTGATGCCTACCATTACCACAGAGGGTTGAGGGGCCCATCACCCAAGAACTGTGCTGTGTTGTTCTCTGGTTTCTGGAAGTTATTCAATTCTACTTATCAAGTATAACAAAATATTTCTTTTTTACTCCCATCTTACTCAAAAGAAAGGATGGCACCCTGATTTCCATATACCACATTCCCTGTAAACATCTTCCTTATTTCATCCTAATTCCTTAGAAAGCGATCCTCAGGTCACACATTGGGCTGTCTGATATTTATATGTAGACTTTTTAGTGCAGTGGTTGTGACCTTTGTTGAACCACAGAGTTCTCTGAGAATCTGATAAAAGCTAGGGTCCTTCTCAGCAAAAAAAAAAAAAAAAATTTCATCTGAGCCTAATTTTGCATATAATTTGAGATCATCCAAAACTCTGTTGAAACCTACTCATGGACAGAGGCTAAAAACCCTTGCCTAATGGTTGCGAAGTGGTCATGAGTACCATTTCTCCTTTAATCTCTAATAGTATTTGTGAATTACTAACATAAAACAACAGTCTTGTATCATTTTGTTTTCCTGAATTACTTTCTTTAATTTAGTTTTTTTTTTTTTCTCACTGTGACTAAGGACAAAAGCATTTAGAATAAGCCTTCCAGAATTTATTTTATAACCCTTGGCTCAGAATGCAATTGGTAAACCAATCTGAGCTAAAACCACACTGACTCTGAACAAGCCATTGTTCTTAAGTCTTAACTGAGGTCAGCCAAGTCCTGAGCACGTATAAATCTCCATAGTTTCCGCTTTACTACTGGACATCTAACTACAAAGCAGAGGCTAAAAATAGATCAAGCCTAGTGTTCATATACACTCCACAGAATTGCATTTCCAACCCCACATGTGTTTTAATTAACAACACTCTTCGCAACCAAAGAGAGACTTCATTTAGCAGGGAAAAGTTGATCCACTTTGAAAAAGTTAAAACACAACCTGAAGGAATTATGAAGATTTTGAAATGTTCAAAGAATATCATCTGCTCCTGTTAGCTCTAGGTCTAAAATACCCCTAGGATTAGGTTAGCTTTCTTTTCTTTTACATTGCATTACACAAAGGAGAAAATATTGACATCCTCTTCCCTTTCTTGTTTCTAGGTCTACATTTCTACTAAGTAGAGTTGTTCAAGCATAGCAAGCCATTAATAAATACCTACCTACCTACATAAATACTTATAGAGCAAGAAGGAAGATGTGAGGTCGAGTATAGAAAAATAATTACATTTCTGCTGCCTACAGAAAGTTTATTATCTGAGGCTCTTTATAGTTAAAATGGCTGTCTTCCAAAGATAATATAGAGCAAATGTTTTCTGGATAAAATATAAAGATGCTCAAAATTTCAATTACTAATGTTAGATATAATTTATCGGTTGTAAATAAATATGAATATTGCATCTGTGGTTAAAAAAAGAATTTGTATAAAATTAAAATAATTTTAACAAAATTTAGCAATAGAGTTTAAGAAGTAAAACTCTTTGAATTACAGATTCATAAAACTCTGTAGCCTCTACAGCATTGGGGGAATGAAATAAGTACACAAGGAGTTACCTTAACAACTGCATGGTAATAAAAATACCCATTTTCTACACTTTCTATAGACTTGGCACAGACAGACCAGGAAAATGGATATTTAAAACATAATCCTCTCTATTACAGGACAGCTGTTTCCTAAATGAGGTTCTTAAACATATGTATGGGACATTCTTCAGGAGAACACAATGATACTGTCACATAGCATGGTGCTCATTCCTATTTCCTTTGGAAGGCAGGTATTTGAAACAAGAGCTAAAAGAAAGGAATTCACCTCCTCACTGACAATACTTCCATATTTGCAGCTAATTTGAGGTCCTTATGAATATCCCCTGGCACACATGACCCATGAAAGTGAGATTGCAAAACGATCCTGTTCCATTTTAAATGGAATTTCAGAACGTTGCCATCACACATTCCAGGTAAACTCCAGAGACTCTGGTACTGAACATGCAGAAGCTCCCAGGAGGTCAATGTCAGTGCCCAGGAATCACAGCCGTGGATCACGTACTTCAGAAATTGTCCTTACATACAAGCCACCATATTATTTCCTCAGTAACTTTTTTAATTCCCAGAAATAAACACCTTCTCCAGTTGCCCTAACAGATATTTTGTGGACTTAAATTTTGTAAGACAAAATTATATCTGTCTATAACAAATAATGCAACCTATGCCAGATGGAGGAGGTTTGAGGCAGCAGGTGATTACTGATCACATAGCCCAGGAATTTTTCTGTTTTGAAGTTCAGCAATTCTTTCTGTGGACTATAGATAGATGTTTAATAAAATCACATGAATCTTGCAAATGTGTTTTAATCCCCATGACACATTTTGCTCTGGATATGGAGAAAATAAAAATTGGCTTGGACTGAGAAATTATCTGCCCAGCATTTATCAGGCTGGAACAACAAACACAGAGAAACCAAGCTCAAGGTTCACAGGAAACGTGTCTCCCGGGGACACTGCTGCAGTAGAGGGTTGTGATAACTTCCTCCTTGAGTGACTACAGGCTCACCGAGAAAATTTCTTCTCTAATATCAAATATTATCAGTAGGCTTGCTGTTTGAAATTTTATCAGGAAGAATGAGGCATTGCCTTCTTCTGTGGAGGAGTTGCTGTTGACACAGAGAAGCAGCCTCAGTTCCCAGCCCAGGTGCTGAGCTCCACACAAAAGGTTTCTAGATACAACAGTCCTCATTTATCTCAACTTGACTGTTTCCAAAGCATCAGGACACTGGATTCATTTTTCAGACCAGACCTGCCTCTAAACTCCACACTTCCTAGAATCCTACTGAAACTCTCTTTTCCTCTGGTGTGTGGTCTCCCTCATTGCAATGGGTTAAATCTAATTTTGTCAGAGTACCAGTTTGCTCCTGGTATTCTTAGGCTGACTGAGATAGGGCCATGTTTTTATAAAATGCCCTGACTAAAGAAAATGTTTGCTGCTTGAATAATAGCTAGGAATTTTAACCTTGGCTTTCATATATTGAAAGAATAGAACACATCTCTGCTGTAGTTTGGGATCCTGTGGTCTGTGAATTTCAAATTCTATTCTCATCTATGACTTCCCTGGTGGCACAGTGGTTAAGAATCCGCCTGCCAATGCAGGGGACATGGGTTTGATCCCTGGTCAGGGAGGATCCCACATGCCACGGAGTAACTAAGCCCGTGAGACACAGCTACTGAAGCCTGCGCACCTAGAGCCCGTGCTCTGAAACAAGAGAAGCCACCACAATGAGAAGCTGTGCACCACGACGAAGAGTAGCCCCTGCTCGCTGCAGCTAGAGAAAGCCTGTGCGTAGCAATGAAGACCCAACACAGCCAAAAATAAATAAATAAAATTAATTAATTAAAAATAAATAAATAAAATTGGAAGTTAAGACTCTGCCTGAGCATTTCTTTAAAAAAAAAAAAATTCTATTCTCATCTAAGTTGAAATGTTCTCAGGACCAGGAAACCTGCTGTGAGTATTGAAATGAGGTTTCCTGGCTCTGCTGCTGCTGAATATTGAACACGACTTGCGGCAAAACTTCTCTGCTTCTAGCAATATCGCAGATGGCAATTCAAGCAAGATATCCCAGGGTGGCTGTGAAGCTTTTCGTGAAACTCAGAGAAGGAAGGTAAAGGGAAATCGTAGACATAAGTCCCAGGCCTCCCAAAACATGGCCTTGCTCCATACCTGGTTTAAAGGTAGGGCTGCCAGTAAGAAGATAAGAAAATGTGACATGGGGAAGTTATTCAGAGAATGTGGCTTTGCCCTAAATTTGTAAGGCTGCTTTGGACATACCCGTGGGAGTAGCCATAGTCGTAGGCTGAGGCAGCCTTCTGACTGACTGCAGATGAGAGGGCAAACTCGGAGGCCCGGGAAGCCTGCTGCTGGTAGGACGTGGTGGATGCCTGGCTGAAGGCCTCGGACTTCTGGCGGTGGGCAGCGGAGGAGCGGCTGCTGTAGGCAGTGGAGCCGTGGGTGTAGATGGCCGAGCTTTTCTTCTCCTGCTGGTACTGGCTCATGGTGGTGCGAAGGTTTTTGTTGTGGTAGCTGCGATCATAGTGCTCGTGAAGTTTCTGATAAAAAGGCAGAGACATCATGTGCCCCCAGGGAACCAGGCAATCTACAAGAAAGCAACAGTTTGGGGGTGAACTATTAAGGAACAAACCCAACAGAACAAGTCATCTAAACCAACATGTAAAAATTAATACTCTTTTATCTGTTCCAAAGAGTAAGTGGAAACAGATGTGAAGGTTAGTTTAGCTGGTTACTCAATAAATTCCTTGCTTCATAGCCCAGATGTACCCCCTCCTATCATTGTACTGTCTTCTCCTTCTTTTTTTAAATACCTAGGAGATCTTTACAAAGTTTCCCTATTGTGCTTTTTCCTTAGACCTTTCATAGCATATATTTCTAATTTTTTGGCATTTCATTCTGACAGGGGCTTCATCTGAGAGAATATGTAATGATGGAGAGTCTGCGTCCAGCCAACGTGGTTTTCATTCAACAAATAATTACTGAGAACCTATTTTGAGCCTGGTACTATTCCAGCACAGGAAATACAGAGATGAACAAAACAAACAAAATCCCTGCTCTGATAACCCTATATACAACCTTATGATCTATTGCAAGAGACAGACAAATAGAGAAAATAAAGTGTAAAGTATATTAGAACCTGCTAAATGCTAAAGAGAAAAATAAAACAGGAAAGTGGGATGGGATGCAATTTAAACAGCATCATCAGGGATGATGATGATGACTGAGCATGAAAGTGACATCTGAGCATGAGAATATCTGGGGGGAAGTGTTCTGGTTGGAAGACCATCGCAAAGGCACTGGGGTGTGAGCCTGCCTGTTGTACTCCAGGAATGGCAAATAGGCCAGTGAGGCTGCATGGAGTGAGGGAGGTGCAGGGAGAGGTATAGAAGATGATGTCAGAGAGGTGGAGGGTGGGGAGGGCAGATAGTGTAGTGTCCTATAGGTGACTGTAAGGACTTTGAATTCTATTCTGAAAGGGCTAAGGAGTCATTGGAAGGTTCTGAGCTGAGAACCACTCTTGCTGAGTCTGAGAATAGACTGTTGAGAGACAAGAGTGAAAGCCAGGAGACCAATTAGAAGGCTGTTATGGGCTGAGTTGTATCCCCCCCAAATTCATATATAGACATCCTAACCTTCAGTACTTCAGAATGTGACTGTATTTGGAGATAAGATCTTTACAGAAGAAGTGAGGTTAAACTGAGGTCATTAGGATAGGCTCTAATCCAATACGACACAATTGGCATCCCTATAAGGAGAGGAAATTAGGACACAGATATGTACATATACAGAGGGAAGACTGTGTGAAGACACAAGAAGATGACCATCTACAAGCCAGGAGAGAGGCCTCAGGAAAACCAGCCCAGCTGACACCTTGATCTCAGATTTCTAATCTCCAGAATCATGAGAAGATAAGTTTCTGTTGTTTAAGCCACCCAGTCCATGGTACTTCGTTATGGCAGCCCTAGCAAATTAATATAAAGGCCACTGCAACAGTCCAGGCTAGAGATTATAGTGGTAGCAGTGGAAGTGTGAGAAGTGATCAGACTCCACATGCTTTGCAGGTAGAACCAATAGCATTTGCTGAAAGTTCTGGATTAGGGTGTGAAAGAGAGGAATGAGAGATGGCTCCAAGGATTTTGCCTGAGTAATTGGAAGACTAAAACTGCTATTAACTGAGATGAGCCAGGAGTTTAAGAAAAGAGCAGTTCAGAATGGAAGAACAGGAGACTGGTTTGAGACATTCTACATTTGAGATACCTGCTAGACACCCAAGTGGAGAAATTAAGTGATTAATCTTAAACTTAATTAAGAGATTAGGTTGGATATTTGACTCTGGAATACAGGGTAAAGGTTCAGGATGGAGACCTACATTTGGGACTCACCAGCATTTAGATGCTATTCAATGCTAAAAAAAAAATAGATGAGAACGAAAGTCCTAGGACTGAACCCTGGAGGATGCTTATATTGTCACATAACAAGCTCTCTCGAATTTCACAAATACTTCAAAAAGGTATAGTGTCAAGGCAGAAAAATTCCATTAAGAATATGAAGGCTTCTAGTCTTCCTACATAAGGCAGCAAGAAAGTCAGTCATCAGTGTAGCAGTTTGCATTGTGAACGTTACCTAACAGTCCTACTGAAAGTCAAAAATAGGTTTGCTTAGCATAGAGAGGGGAGACTTCAGATTGCATTACCTTTCTTGAATAATCTGTCCACTGACAGAGCGTATCAGCCATACTGACAACCCTGGATGAAGTAGTGGTTTTATGGAAGCCCCCTCTTACATTTTTTTAAAATTAATTAATTTATTTATTTTTGGCTGCATTGGGTCTTCGGTGCAGTGCACGGGCTTCTCACCGAGGCGGCTTCTCTTGCTGCAGAGCACTGGCTCTAGGTGCGCAGGCTTCAGTAGTTGTGGCACGTGGGCTCAGTAGTTGTGTCTCACGGGCTCTAGAGTGCAGGCTCAGTAGTTGTGGCACATGGGCTTAGTTGCTGTGTGGCATGTGGGATCTTCCTGGACCAGGGATCGACCCCGTGTCCCCTGCATTGGCAGGCGGATTCTTAACCACTGTGCCACCAGGGAAGCCCCCCTCTTCCATTTTTAATGCTTTTGTGCATTTCCTAAATTTTTTACAAGTGAAATTAGTTGTAATCAATTTTTCAAATCTTTTTAAAAAATTCTAAATGAGGACTGAATCCTTCTAAACTTGCCACATTTTCTGTCAAGTTTAAATCTACTTTTTAGGACTTCCCTGGTCCTAAAGATCCCACATGCCACACAGCAACTAAGGCTGTGTGCCACAATTACTGAGCCTGCGCTCTAGAGCCCCTGAGACACAACTACTGAGCCCATATGCCATAACTACTGAAGCCCGTGCACCTAGAGCCAGTGCTCTGCAGCAAGAGAAGCCACAGCAATAAGAAGTCCGTGCACCACAACAAAGAGTAGCCTCTACTTGACGCAACTAGAGAAAGCTCGCATGCAGCAACGAAGACACAATGCAGCCAAAAATAAATAAATAAATAACTTCAAAAAATAAACCTACTTTTTAGAAAGTCTTTTAAAGTACAACACAAGCTTGCTCTTCAATTCAGTTCCATTAAAAACAATGAGATAAATATAAAAACAGTTTCTAAGATGAACTGAAAAGCTGTTTCCCTTTTATTATTACTTTATGTTTTCTTGTCATTAGTCCTGCAGATTTCCAGGCCAAACCTCAGACTTAATAAATGAGGATCTTTGGTGAGAGCGGGAGCAGGAGACTGAATTCTACACAATTTCTCAAAGTGTTTCCAATGTACACTGAAGTTTGAGAAATGCTTGGCTTAGAAGATAGGAGTGATTTTAAGGACAGGTAGAGAATAATATTTCAATGGATTTTAAATGACTAGTGTGGAGAAGTTTTCAATTTTTTTGTTTTTATTTCAATACCTAATAAAAATTTTCACCTCTTAAAAAAATTTTTTTAATCTACTTTTTTTTTAACATCTTTATTGGAGTATAATTCCTTTACAATGGTGTGCTAGTTGCTGCTGTATCACAAAGTGAAATCAGCTATACATATACATATACATATACCCCCATATCCCCTCCCTCTTGCGTCTCCCTCCCATCCTCCCTATCCCACCCCTCTAGGTGGTCACAGAGCACCGAGCTGATCTCCCTGTGCTATGCGGCTGCTTCCCACTAGCTACCTATTTTACATTTGGTAGTATATATAAGTCCATGCCACTCTCTCACTTTGTCCCAGCTTACCCTTCCCCCTCCCCATGTCCTCAAGTCCATTCTCTATGTCTGCGTCTTTATCCCTGTCCTGCCCCTAGGTTCTTCAGAACCATTTTTTTTTCATCTTTTTATTTAAACTAAAGAGTCAGCATGTATTCCCTAGAGAAGAAAATCCAGCAAACTTCATTCCAGAAATATTTATGTTAGGGCTCATGGAAGATATCAGTCTACATGGCATTCCTCAAGAGGAAGAAAGTAGCTACTAGCAAGCAACTTTGCTTCAACCCTTAAATAGATTGCTATTTTCTGTTCTAAAATATACAGGATGATGATCAGGTGTAATGAATAATTATTAGATACATTTTTATAAAACAAAAGGGTTGAATATATAAATATAGAAGTATATGATCAGGCATTTATAAAGATGTTTGATAAGTTTCTGTAATGATACATACTACACTGCAACACAGCAAATGTTATTTGAATGATGTCCAAATAAATAATGAATGACCTTCCTGTGTATTATGTTATAAGCTAAATTCAGAACGCAAATAACTTGAAATGCTGTTATTTTCACAAAATAAAATCTTTAAATGTCTTGCCTCAATTCTATTTTCCATTTGCTTTATTTCTATTTTCCCCAAATATGTTTATTTTTAATAATACTTAATATTCCAAGCACAGAGATAATATATTACAAGTAAACAGGCTTTGGCCTTATGTCAACTCAGCTGGTTGTCATAGCTCTGACCTCTGGAACAAAGGTACAACTACCTTCTCCTCATCAAGTAAGTGAGGATTATCCCCAACACATGACAGCTAGAGTGTATTGGGAGGAAAGATGGTTTGGCTGTCTTCCATTCCTTTAAGACCTGTGTTTTTTCCTGAAAATAATTTGGGAATTTAGGAAGAGACAGTAACTCCATAGTTGTAACTGTGACATGATACTTTGTACAGGCATTAGAGGCTGAAAGCTGATAAAAATTCTTCACAGAAAATACTAACTTTAGGATCATGATGTGGGGCTCTTTGTTGCCTCTGAAATATTGCTTAACCATTTTCCGATTAGAAATACCCAAGGTACCCTTACATTCATCCACGTGGCACTGTCAGAGCAAAATCACTGAATTAGAGACTAGTGACTTCAGAGCTAGTTTACTCCTTTTGATCTAATATGTAATCAGGGAGTATTGTAGGCGTACGGAGGATAGAAAACACATGATTTCCTGTTACCTTACCCATTCCAGGTTTCAACCAAACCACTGAACTGTAACTTGGAAAGAGTACTTGACTCACGCTTACAGTTCTATCTGAGACAGCTATTATCTTTTTA